AAGAACATCTATCATCAAATTACTAAAGCTAAGAGTATCTAAGAAACTAAGCATAAAAAGTAGCTAGTCTATGCAAGAACTTCGAGGCATCAAGACATGTAGAAGAAGATCCAGTTCAAGCTAGAAGCTTTCGCTCACCCTGAAATCTGGTGTAATGAAGACTAGCTAAAGTTGCGGTTCGGTTGAAGATGACGGTACGTTTGCTGCACTCCACAATGAACAAAAAGAAAACATACAAGTAGGGGTCAGTACAAAACACGTGTGCTGAGTAGATATCATCGGCCAACTCAAAATAGAAAACAGTATATATCAGATAATATCATAAAATCAAGTACAATACACAACAGGTAGAAATAATAAGTACTATAATCATTAATAAGTACGCCAAGTACACCCATGAAGAAGCAAGCCTCCATACGATACTCCTTTGGGAAATAGGTTCATTAAATCTGAGTATATTACCATAATTAAAGATCACTCTCTTTATTCCTCTTGTGTCGGAACGTGACACTCTGATCCCCTAATACTACGTGTCGGTTCGTGACACTCGATCCCCCTAATACTACGTGTCGATTCGTGACACCCGATCCCCCTATTACTACGTGTCGGTTCGTGACACTCGATCACCCTAATACTATGTATCGGTTTGTGACACCCAATCCCTTAACCTCATTTGTTTAGTTCATCAAGCCTTCTTTTATACCAAGGCATCATCATTATATCATCACATCATGCAAACACACAATTAAGCATATAGAAGGGTTTTACAATACTACCCAATAGATTTCATTCGCTATTAAGAGTTTACTATGAAATAGCATAAACCATAAGCTACCTCCACCGAAGAATTCGTGATCAAGCATGCTATCCCCCAAAACCTTGTTTTCCTCTTCGTTTCTTCTATCTCTCGATCGTTCTTCTCCCTCTACCTGTTCTTTCTATTTTTCTTATTCAACCCTCTTTCTTTTACCCTAATTAGCATATAATTAAGTATAAAAGATGATGAATTAAACCATAAATTAATTCCAGGTTATCTCCTTTAACCCTCCAGTAGTTAAATTAGTAACATTAACCCACTAGATTTATAATTATAGCAGGAATAGTCCAAAACGCCCCTTAAAATATTTAACAGAAATCCGACTCGGCCTGGGATTACGCAGTCTATGATGGCCAATCGTGCCTGCGGCGGTCCGTCCTGCTTCTTCTGTCACAATGTTCACAGACTAAATTTCAATAAAGGATCTGTGACGGCCCGTCACGCCTGTGGCGGTCCATCCTGCCATTCCGTCATGAAGTTTAGAGAGTCGATTTCAGTACCCAAATTTTAGAAATCTAAGTGTTTTGGAACGAGACCCCCTAGACGGTTCGTCGTGCCCATACGGTCCGTCGTGGGATCCGTCGTCTCAGCCAGCTTATGCAGATATAAAATCTTCTGCTCAAAACGACTAAACAGGTCGTTACAGTTACTCTCCAACACATCAGAGTTCAGGGTGAGCTATTATTTCTAGCTCGTGCTGAATTCTCTCATTCATGTCTTGATGTCTTTGAATTTCGGACATGGACCATCTTGTTTATTATTTTTGTTTCTTAAATACTCTTAGACTTGGTAATTTGAGGATAGATGTTCTTGATGTGATGACTTCCAGATATTGGGGATAATAAGTGTTAAACTTTTGAAGTTTATTTAATTGGTAACAAAAAAAAGTTTTGGATCTTCGGCATTATTTTTGTTATTCATAGTTGAACTATTGGTAAATGTTGGGGTTTAGATTTGTTGATTCGCTCACCTAGTAGGTTAAGTGTGGGTGCCACTCACGACTTATTTTGGGTCGTGACATTCTCTTTCTTTCTCAATGCACATAACACTTGTCACAACCATGTCTTAAAATAATTCAAATGACATGTTCATACAAATAAAGAGGATATGACCACTTTCATAACACTGCATAATTCACAACAACATCAACAATGATTCAACAAACTTTTCAAACCATTCTTTATTATCAACACATCACACACAAGCAATCATTCACATTGCCTTTTATTACCCTTTGTTTTCATGATTAGAATTAAACTATGTTGACAAGTCAACTCATCACTGTCACGACCCAAATTCGGGCCGCGACTGGCACCCACACTTACCCTCCTATGTGAGTGAACCAACCAATCTAAACCTTAACATTTCAAGGTAATATCAACATAAAGTAATGCGGAAGACTTAAACTCATTAATAAAATCAATAACTATTATTATTCCCAAAATCTGGAAGTCATCATCACAAGAACATCTATAATCAAATTACTAAACTAAGAGTATTCTAAGAAGCTAAAAATACATAAGAAGCTAGTCCATGCCGGAAGTTCAAGGCATCAAGACTTGAAGAAGAAGATCCAGTCCAAGCTAGAAGCATTAGCTCACCCTGAATTTCCGATGTAGTAAGACTGGCTTGAGTTACTGTTGAGACCGACGAACCTAGGGCTCTGATACTAAATTTGTCACGATCAAAAATCTCGAGTCATGAGGTCACCTCTGTTCCCAACCAATAGGTAAGACAACCAACATATTTTAACAAACTTAACTAACTAATAAGTGAAAAGATAACAAATTGTAAAATCTCCAACAATGAGTTCTTTATAAGTACGAATGCGGAAAACTGAACAAAAAATAATACCAAAGAATTGGTGTCAAAAGTACAAGAGCTTCTAAAATACGACGCAAGTCTGAAACTAAAAAGACAAATCTAACATAGGGATATCCTGTCTGAATACTGAATAACAGAATAAGTAAAAGATCAAGGGAAGTGTGGGCCACTGAACAGCCAAGCAGCTCACCACTACTCGAAGACACTCCAAACTTGGACTCAAACTGCTCCTTGAGATGTGCTCCTACTCGAAATCGAATCTGCACCACAAGAACTTCAACAAGTGTAGTATGAGTACTAAACCACATGTACTCAGTATGTCTCATTGACTGACAACGAAAAAGTAGTGACGGGAGTTTATAAAAAAAAATCTTAAATTATATAAGTATATATATAATATGCTCACTATTTAAGTTCATCAATAAAGGTAATCAAACATCAAGTACTTTCCAACACTAACCAAAACACATAATCATCAAAAATAAATGATGTGATGAAATGCAATGCAATATGATACCGTGTAATGAATTATTTCAGAATACCCAGTACTCACTCAACCGTATATACATGATACTCATCAGAAATACATCGAGAGCTCATGACCCATAGGGGACTCACGAGGTCCATATACCGACACGGATGATCTCCACGTGTCTGTGCGGATGACCTCAACGCACTATCATAATATCAAACAATTTCCGCACGGACGGTTTCCATATGCCCAAATTACAATCTTAACATCTTACCATCCCCAGCACGGACGATCTCCACGTGCCCAACTTATACTCAATCTCATGTCAATGCATGTATACAATATCATTTCAATATAAGGGGATAATGATGAATCTCACTCAATCAATATCAACATAATGCATAACCACCTCAATTATCACAACTATACGGGTGTTATAAAGAAAACACAATCCCACAAAAATTTCAAGACAGTAATATATCAGCTAATACTCATATTTTTTTGAAATTCTCAAATTACAATCCACATTATATATTAGAAAATTTTTTGTTTTATAACACCGGTACACGTACCAATGCCCGTCACAACATTGATACGAGCCCCCCATCTTCCGCCCTTACCCATTTGTCTATTCTCATTTTTTTTAAATCTTTAATTAGGAAAACATCCTTCAACAAGTCTAAAAAGTCTTAACATACCTCAAGTGCCGAATTCGTGTCACGAATCTTTAAGACAGTTCCTTCCCTTTATGCAAAGTTTCGAAATGCTCATGATCTGCCAATGATGCAAGGTTCGTAAATAAGCGAGTTTGTAGAAATTTAAATTTATTATAAGTGCAACATAAACCTCAAAACTCACTCATATCTCTAATCAATCCCAAAACATGGCATAGTTTATATGCGAAATTGTCATATTTCAGGCCATGAATTTAATCTTAATTTCTTAAATACCCTAACATTCAATATTTGACCATATGGTGTACATCCAATAATTAGTTATCTATCTCAACTTGTCAAAACTAGTACCTTCATTTGATAATTAAATAAAGTAAGAATCAACTCCACCAATTAACAATACCACGCAAGAGACAATCGATCTACAATGGTCACGATTTTCCCAAAAAAATTTAAACTATAACAAATATGTCATATTCAAAAAAAGAATTATTTTACCTTTTTACCAAATGCCAATCATTGGCATATGATTGCCCAATGATTGGCAGATCTCCTACAAATATAATAATCTTAAATAACCAATTTCCATGCTTACCATGGAAAGTAACGATGCCACTGCCATTTGCCCTTTTTTTTAATTTTTTCCCATCAATTAAAATAATAATAACAAGAAATAAAATAATAAAATAACATACAAATCAACCCTTAAATAAAAGTACACCATCAGAATGATGGTCATTAATGGAATTAAATACACCTTGGGTGCCATTTATTTTAATTAAAATATATAGCAATAGTTTTCCCCATTTTGATATTAACAATCCATGTAATAATATAATAATAACAACAAACAAAATTAATCTAACAACATACCTTTGGTAGAATTGAAAAGGGATGAGAAGTTCCTTGTTTTCGTTAGCAGTGTTTATTGTTTCTCCTCTCATTCGTCACTTACGGTAAGTTTCTGCCTCCACCCCTTTTATTTTCTAAAAAAGAGTTTATTAACCGTGAAACCCACTAATCTGTTATCTATATTACTTATTTAATAAAAGTTTCATCAACTAGGTACTCTTAGACTTTGAATAGTTTAAAAATACCCCTTTAAATTTTCAAAAGGAGTCGAACTAGTCCTAGTTCTCAAAACGACCTAGCGGGTCGTTACATTACCTACCACTTAAACAAACGTTCGTCCTCGAACGAGAAAAGGAAAGAGCTAACCTGAACGCTCAAAAAGATGATGATATTTACTCCTCATGTCTGACTCTGTCTCCCATGTAGCCTCCTCCACTGAACGATGCTTCCGCTGAACCTTTATTGGAGCAATCTCCTTGGACCTTAGCTTTAGAATTTTCCTTTCAAAAATGGTGATCGACTCAACCTCAAAAGTCAAATTCTGATCAAGTAACATTGAATCCCATTGAATAAAATGATCACCACCCTGATAATACTTCTTAAGCATTGAAATATGAAATACAGGATGAACACCTGACAAACCAGGTGGAAAAGCCAACTTATACGCCACCTCACCAAAACGATCAACAATCTCGAAAGGAACAATATACCTTGGGCTCAACTTGCCCTAATTTCCAAACCTCATCACACCCTTCATGGGTGAAACCTTCTATAAAACCCTCTTTCTAACCATAAACTCTAAATCACGAATATTTCAATCTGCATAACTCTTTTGCCTACTCTGAGCCATGAGAAGTCTATCTTGGATCAACTTGACCTTGTCCAAGGACTCCCTCAACAGCTATGTACCCCATGGTCTAACCTCAAATGCATCAAACCAGCCAATAAGAAATCGACATCTCCTACAATATAGAGCCTCAAATGGTGTCATCTCTATTCTCGAGTGATAACTATTATTGTAAGCAAACTCCGCTAAAGGAAAGAACTAATCCCACTGACCACCAAAGTCAATCACACACACCCGCAACATGTCCTCAAGAACCTGAATAGTCCGCTCAGACTGAACATCAGTCTGAGGGTGAAAAGTTGTACTAAGATCCATCCGAATGCCCAACTCATTCTACATATTCCGCCAGAAATGAGATGTAAATTGGTTGCACGATAAAAAATAATAGATATAGGAACCCCATGCAAATGAACTATCTCTTAAATATAGATCTTGACTAACTTCTCTGAGTTATAGGTAGTCTGAAATGGTACAAAGTGTGCAGACTTAGTCAGTCGATCCACGATGACCCATATAGCATAAAATTTACCCAAGGTGTGTGGCAACCCTACCACAAAGTCCATAGAAATGCGCTCCAACTTCCACTCAGGTATGGGCATCCTCTAAGTCATACCTCATGGCTTTTGGTGTTCATACTTCACTCGCTGACGATAAAAACACCGAGATACAAAATCTACTATGTCCCTCTTCTTATGACACCACCAATAGTGTCACTTCAAGTCACAATACATCTTAGTAGCCCCCGGATGAAAAGAGTACCTTGAACTATGAGCCTCCTCCATGATCAATCTAGTCAAATCACCTGTACGAGGAACACATATACGACCCTTAATTCTCAAAACTCCGTCACTATCAAGATTTGCAGCCTTGGCTTCTCATTCTAACACCTTGTCCCTAATCTTACATAAATCACCATCATCAAACTATTAAGCCCGAATCTGCTACAACAAGGATGACCTAGCCTCCATATAAGCCAACACCTTACCAGATTCTGAAATATCAAGTCTCACAAAGCTGTTGGGCAGGGATTGGACATCCCTAGCTAAAACACACTAGACAACCTGTAATATGGCTAGACTACCCATACTTACCGCCTTCTGAGTCAAGGCATCTGCTACAACATTTGCCTTGCCTGGGTGATAAAGAATAGTCGTATCGTAGTCTTTGAGCAACTCATACCATCTCCGCTTTTTCAAATTGATATCTCTCTGATTGAATATATATTGGAGACTACGATGATCTGTGAACACCTCACAATGCACATCATAAAGATAATGCCTCAAAATCATCAATGCAAACCCAATAACCGCCAAATTTAAATCATGAATAGGGTAGTTCTTCTCGTGAAATTTGAACTCCCTCGAAGTATAATCTATCATCTCTCCCTTCTGCACTAATACACAACCCAGACCAATTCGATAAGCATCACAATACACAACAAAACCCTCTCCCTCCACGGGTAGGTCAAAATTGGAGCAGTAGTCAATAAAGTCTTGAGCTTTTGGAAACTAACCTCACATTCGTCAGACCACTAAAAAGTCACCTCTTTCTATGTCAATCTAGTTAATGGAGATGCGATGGATATGACACCCTCAACAAACTGTCGATAATAACTTGCAAGGCCCAAGAAACTCTGAATCTCAATAACTAAAGAAGGTCTGACCAAATCTCTAACCGCCTTAATCTTCTTAGGATCCACTATAATACCATCCTTGGACACTACATGTCCAAAAAATGCTACCGATTTATTTCAAAACTCACACTTTGAAAACTTTGCATAAAGCTTGTTCTCCTTTAGAATCCCAAGAACAAACCTCAAATGATGCTCATATTCCTCCTTAGTGCGTGAGTATATTAATATATCATCTATGAAGACAATAACAAAGGAATCTAAAATGGTCTGAATATTCCATTCATCAAGTCTATAAAAGTTGCTAGGGCATTAGTCAATTCGAAAGACATCACCAAAAACTCGCAATGACCATAACTTGTTCGAAGCACCCTACAACTGATCAAATAAATCATCAATACGAGGTATCGGATACATGTTTCTGATGGTTACCTTGTTCAATTGCGGATAGTCAATACACATACACATAGATCCATCTTTCTTCTTCACAATTAACACTGGAGTATCCCAAGAAGATACACTTGGTCTATAAAACCTTTGCTCAACAAATCCTGCAACTGCTCCTTCAAATATTTAAATTCAGCTGGTGCCATACGATAAGGAGAAATAGAAATAGGCCGAGTGCCAGGCTCCACATCAATACAAAAATCAATATCACGATCTGGTTGAAGACTTGGCAAATCGGTCGGGAATACCTATGAAAATTTACTCACCACTGGAATAGACTCAAGCATAGGAGTCTCAACACTAGTATCTCGAATGTGTGCCAAGTAAGCTAAACATCCTCTCTTTACCAACTGACGAGCCTTAAGTATTGTTGTTGATTTTATATTATTATTCATTACATATTGATTTCTATTTTGAGTTGACCGATGATACCTACTCAATAAGTGTTCCTTGAACTGACCCCTACTTGTATTTTCTTCGTTGTTCTTTTGTAAAGTTCAGCAAATCTACCATCGACTTTGACACGCCCTCAGCTCTAGTTAGTGTCACGACCCAAAATGAGTTGCGAGTGGCACCCACACTTATCCTACTATGTGAGTGAACAAACCAATCTAAACCCCAACATTTCAACCACAAATAACATAATATAATGCGGAAGACATAAACTCACTAATGAAAATTGATTAAATAACTTCTAAAAACTCAATACTTATTATTCTCAAAATCTGGAAGTCATTATCACAAGAACATCTATCATCAAATTACTAAAGCTAAGAGTATCTAAGAAACTAAGCATAAAAAGTAGCTAGTCTATGCAAGAACTTCGAGGCATCAAGACATGTAGAAGAAGATCCAGTCCAAGCTAGAAGCTTTAGCTCACCCTGAAATCTGGTGTAATGAAGACTAGCTAAAGTTGCGGTTGGGTTGAAGATGACGGTACGTTTGCTGCACTCCACAATGAACAAAAAGAAAACATACAAGTAGGGGTCAGTACAAAACATGAGTACTGAGTAGATATCATCGGCCAACTCAAAATAGAAAACAGTATATATCAGATAACATCATAAAATCAAGTACAATACACAAGAGGTAGAAATAATAAGTACTATAATCATTAATAAGTACGCCAAGTACACCCATGAGGAAGAAAGCCTCCATACCATACTCATTTGGGAAATAGGTTCATTAAATCTGAGTATATTACCATAATTAAAGATCACTCTCTTTATTCCTCTTGTGTCGGAACGTGACACTCCGATCCCCTAATACTACGTGTCGGTTCGTGACACTCGATCCCCCTAATACTACGTGTCGATTCGTGACCCTCGATCCCCCTATTACTATGTGTCGGTTCGTGACACCCGATCACCCTAATACTACCTATCGGTTCGTGACACCCGATCCACCTATTACTATGTGTCGGTTCGTGACACCCGATCCCTTAACCTCATTTGTTTAGTTCATCAAGCCTTCTTTTATACCAAGGCATCATCATTATATCATCACATCATGCAAACACACAATTAAGCATATAGAAAGGTTTTACAATACTATCAAATAGATTTCATTCGCTATTAAGAGTTTACTATGAAATAGCATAAACCATAAGCTACCTCCACCGAAGAATTCGTGATCAAGCAAGCTATCCCCTAAAACCTTGTTTTCCTCTTCGTTTCTTCTCTCTCTCGATCGTTCTTCTCCCTCTACGTGTTCTTTCTATTTTTCTTATTCAACCCTCTTTCTTTTACCCTAATTAGCATATAATTAAGTATAAAAGATGATGAATTAAACCATAAATTAATTCCAGGTTATCTCCTTTAACCCTCCCGTAGTTAAATTAGTAACATTAACCCACTAGATTTATAATTATAGCAGGAACAGTTCAAAACGCCCCTTAAAATATTTAACAGAAATCCGACTCGGCCTGGGATTACGTAGTCTATGATGGCCCATCGTGCCTGCGATGGTCCATCCTGCTGCTTCTGTCACAATGTTGAGAGACTAAATTTCAATAAAGGATCTGTGACGGCCCGTCACGCCTGTGGCGGTACGTCCTGCCATTCCGTCATGAAGTTCAGAGAGTCGATTTCAGTACCCAAATTTTAGAAATCTAAGTGTTTTGAAACGAGACCCCCTCGACGGTCCGTCGTGCCCATACGGTCCGTCGTGGGATCCGTCGTTTAAGCCAGTTTATCCAGATATAAAATTTGCTGCTCAAAACGACTAAACAGGTCGTTACAGTTAGTCTCCAACATATCAGAGTTCAGGGTGAGCTATTATTTCTAGCTTGTGCTGGATTCTCTCATTCACGTCTTGATGTCATTGAATTTCGGACATGGACCATCTTGTTTATTATTTTTGTTTCTTAAATACTCGTAGACTTGGTAATTTAAGGATAGATGTTCTTGATGTGATGACTTCCATATATTGGGGATAATAAGTGTTAAAGTTTTGAACTTTAATTAATTGGTAACAAAAATAAGTTTTGGATCTTCGGCATTATTTTTGTTATTCAAAGTTGAACTATTGGTAAATGTTGGGGTTTAGATTTAATGATTCGCTCACCTAGTAGGTTAAGTGTGGGTGCCACTCACGACTCATTTGGGGTCGTGACATTCTCATTCTTTCTCAATGCACATAACACTTTTCACAACCATGTCTTAAAATAATTCAAATGACATGTTCATACAAATAAAGAGGATATGCCACTTTCATAACACTGCATAATTCACAACAACATCAATAATGATTCAACAAGATTGTCAAACCATTCTTTATTATCAACACATCACACACAAGCAATCATTCACATTGCCTTTTATTACCCTTTGTTTTCATGATTAGAATTAAACTATGTTGACAATTCAACCCATCACTGTCACGACCCAAATTTGGGCCGCGACTGGCACCCACACTTACCCTCCTATGTGAGCGAACCAACCAATCTAAACCTTAACATTTCAAGGTAATATCAACATAAAGTAATGCGGAAGACTTAAACACATTAATAAAATCAATAACTATTATTATTCCCAAAATCTGGAAGTCATCATCACAAGAACATCTATAATCAAATTACTAAACTAAGAGTATTCTAAGAAGCTAAAAATACATAAGAAGCTAGTCCATGCCGGAAGCTCAAGGCATCAAGACTTGAAGAAGAAGATCCAGTCCAAGCTAGAAGCATTAGCTCACCCTGAATTTCCGATGTAGTAAGACTGGCTTGAGTTACTGTTGA